CTAATGACTAAAGAAACACTGGCTATAACTAAATGAGGTAGCAGCTGCTTAGCTTAATATATAACAAACTGGTGACAAATACTTTTACTTATGTTAACCAAATATATTTGAGACAGATTTACTTTTCCTTTTTCACTGAAATCTTCTTGAACTGGGATTTTGTGACACTATTTGTATTAGCATTATACTGTACAGTTTTCCATTTTCATTGCTGTATAAAGAGACAGATTTCCTACTTGTGAACTAAAAAAGATGCATTGCAATTTTTTTCTATTCTGGATAAGGTGTTGACAAATTTATACAAATACAGAAGGGAAGATAAATGCACTCTGTATCAAGGTCAAAGTAAGTGGTATCACAATTTTAAAAGTGTTGACAATTTTAAACATGTTTTATAATGCTGCTAAGAAATTTTCTTAAATATGTAGCTCACACTAATATTGTGCTGTGCTACTCATGTACAATTGTGCCCAACACCCTGTAAAAACTTAGAAAGAATATTAGTTTCTTAAATAACCATAAGTTGGATTTTCCACTCATGCAGACCTTTAGATGTCAATGGAGTTTTGCAAGCTGTAATGCAGAAGATTATTAAAGCAGTCATATTTGCAAGACACCATACAGAAAAAAACATAATCACTAAGGTAAGGCTGCTGGCTAATACATTGAAATGTTGAAGTTATACAACTCTGAAAACAAGGCTGCTGAGCAGAAATTGAGAACATAGTTGGAAAACTCCAGGAGAAACAACTGAGGGGAAAGCAGGAACTGAATTTTTATCTAAACTCATGTTTTAAATATTTAGCTCAATCTTAAACATAAACTCTGCTTTTCCATTGATTTTTCACAAACACTCAGAAAGCAAAATACTCCTTACTTTTCCTGTAGATAATTCAGGCTCATGGGTGCAGTATATCTCAGATGGCAAGACCACTTATCCTCTCAGGTTTTCCCAGAAGCAGTTTCACAGTAAGACCTGGTGTACTGGGCCAAAGAAGCACCCCAGAGAAGCATCACAGAAATCTTGTGAACACTGTCAGGTTTTCTTGTCTTGTATCACACACGACTTAAAGCCCCCTCTAAAATCATAAATAAACTATAAAATAAAGCCATGTTTCATCTGCCTTCCACAACCTGCTGGATGATCACCAGCTTGTACATGAACGCAGCTTCTGAATACGTGTTGCAGCCTGAGGAAGACAGTTACAAGCTGACTGCCTGGATGAAGTCAGACCCTGTGCACCACAAAGTCTATGTTTTAATGAATGGAGTTACTTTGTAGATTTTCTGTCTTTGACATATATGGGGATAGTTACTAGTAGCCCATATCTTGTTGCTTCCCTTCATGCCCCGATTTTGAGGACTGCGACCTGAAATCTCTCCCTATCCTATCTCTACAGAGAGAACAGACATAATTCTTGCTCCCTCAGAAAAAGACACATTATCAGGTGTCCTCTACACATAACCACTTTTCCCCCATTTGTCTGAGTTTCTCTTCACTAGCATCTTGTAATAGCTCAGCAGATCATACATAACCTTGACTACTTAAAGAAACTTTGCTCTCTCCCTGGCCATTGCCTCCCTCAGACAAGTTCACCTGTTGCCTTCAATTCTGGGCAGCAGATAAAGAGGAAGCTGTGATGACAGTATCTGCAAGAGGACCGTGTGGCCTTCTGAATTTGTTGCTGCTTCTTGCTCACTTGTCAATACCACAGCAGAACACCACTCCTTGTGGAGTTGCTTCTCATGTTCACAGCTGGGACTGTGATGGGATGATGCTTGCAGGGGCTAAGCTGTGTCTTTCCCAGATCAACAAATGTAGAGGGACCTACAGTGAGTGGCAAATGTTTGTGGTAACCTCAGCAGTGCAGCCAGCATCAGGATTCTGAGGGCGCAAGAGATGAGTCCTTCCAAATTGGGTGAATTTTGCTCTGGTCACCTCAACACATTCTTCCTTCCCTGGTCTGGGATTCCATGTAGTTTTTTTTCTGTTACCTGCCCATAAGCTGAAGGTTGGACTTAATATAACTCAGTCTGTGAATATATGAATATATGGTTTTAGTTTGGAAGGGAGTACAATGAGGAACAGCACCATGGAGCAAAGATCCCACCAAACACCAAGCAAACACTTGGTAGCTCTGCATTTATGCAAAACTGACAAGTGTGTGGGCATCATTTTCATAACCATGAGTTACATCAGAACCCCTCTGAGAGGCCTGAAGAGCAAGCAAGGATCTGGTCATGCTGTTCAGAGGGAAGACTTACATATATTTTCCACATGCAATTACCTGCAGTAGTGCATGACATTGTTGTGTGTTTATATTATTTTCTATTATGTTATAAATAATACACCTCTAAATGGCTCTATTAATGTATTAATACTTTGTATTATGTAATTGATAACATTTATTAATATCTTAATGACTTGGAAATGTGACGTGCCAGAAAAAGCCCAAAGAAGTCACAATGTGCTCCTTCCCTAGGATAGCAGAAAGACTGAATCAGAGGAGAAAAGGAACATCGAGACCATGGATCTAATAAGAAAGCCATATGATGAGTCTCATAAATGAGACATCGACTATTTTCTCAGTTGTGCCTCCTTACTTGTTCCTCTTAAAAAAAGGAAGAGAATTAGGAAAAAACAGAGCATCTGGGAAATAATATTCCTGGTATAAAGGCTGTCCTGGAAGGATGAGTATAGGTGTTTATGAAGAAGGAAGGTAAAATGTATATTGGATCTGACATCTGCTGGGGAGCAGAGCTGGAAGGAGACAACAGGGACAAGGGGTGGAAACAGGCATGGACATTGGCAACAGTGTTATATTCTGACAGTTTCCAAGGTTGTAACATTCAATTTTGTTCTCACTGGCGATAACTCTGCCATCTTCACACACACACAAAAATAAATCAAATGAAAAATTTTATTATATATATATATGAAAAATCCCTTACATTGATATTCATTCTGACCAGCCTTAGCAGGGATTTAGCGAAAAGCCAGAAGCTGAATGAAACAGATGCTTGAAGGCATAGAGAGAAAAGCTTTGACTTCACAAGCAACAGACATGTCATGGGGTGAGTGTGGACTGAAGAATGGGTCAGACAGATGATGCAACTGTCAGAGAGGAGTTCCAGAAAATACAGAATACATAGCTACTGAAGTAATAGGCATGTCATAAATGCAAAGAAAACATTGTAGCATGGAATATAATATCACCTTGTTGGAAAGGACTATTTTAGTCTCATGAAACATAGACAAATGGAACTATGAGAAATACAGCAGTGTATGTTGAAAATCTAGCCATTAAAAGGTGACTGAGGTGGAGAGACCAAGCCACATTTCTAGGGAGCCCCAGTGTGTGGCAGAGACACAGAGATGATTGTAAAGCCCGGTAAAACCTGCTGATGGGCTGTAATAAAGACTTCTGGGGGATGGGGGATACTGAGCAGAAAAAGGTATCAACATTCTGTCACGCAGCAGATGTCAGGAGAACTGAAGCTGATCCCCAGAATACATTTTAAGGTAACAGAAAAAGCAGTGATTATGCAGTTGTATTAAAGAATAGGGATAGCAGAAAGTTCTGAACTGTTTTGTTCTTTTTCTACCTGAGAACAGAGCAAGGAAATATATGAGAATAAGATGTTTTTGCAATACTAATGAATTAGAATGAATATTAAATTTGTCCTAAGCTTGTGACTTCACATCGTAGAGTGTGGAACAGAAGAGAGAAAAAAAAAAAAAAAAGAAAAACCAACAAAAAAGCACTTTAGAATCTGAAATATTCATTATAGCTGCTGACTTTCAAAAAAGTATTCTCTCTGAGGGAATCAAGGGCCCACGAATCTTGAACTTCCAATATCGCATATTAAGCTTGAGCTGGGTAGGCTTGCCTACAGAGAAAAGGGACTCTATTTCCCACTGAGAAAGCAGAAACTAATTCATCATTCTACCTTCCTACTTATTAGTTCCACTCACCAATAACGGACAAGAAACAACCCCATGTGACTTGGGGGAACTAGTTACTCTGGGAAAGCAGCAAACACGAATAGTGAAGGCACAGATCCAACCTGCAACAGGCTGAAATTGGTTGAAATATGTTTCCAGAGATTATTTCCTGAATACTTATAAATAACAACAATATACCAAAAAAAAAAAAAAAAACAAACCAAAACAAAACCTAAACCGTTCCAATCAGTTTGTTAAATAATAGCCCATCATTTGGTGAACATACTGTTTGCCATCAACTGTTAGTCCATCCCTCCAGCTGATGGGACAGAACTCTGGCTGAGTGGACAGATGTTTCTTTCTGCTAACTTTGACAACACTTGGGCCCATAGTCCTTGACCAGAGAAACTAATTAAGTAATAAAATCAGCTCTTTGTAAGACAAGAAGAAAGAAAGGGTGGAACCACTGAAGAACTTGAGGCACTGATTAACTCACAAGTGTTTCCTGTATAATGCAAATCATTAATGCCTTATGGTCTCTGAGAGTAATGAACCAGAAGCAAAACAATATCATAAATCATATATGAATCCTATAAGATCTTAGGATATTTTTCTTTCTTCATGAGTTGGTCATTCTGTAAGAAGAACTGTTTTAATTTCTTATTTACTAATCTTTATATTTCAATTCTATACTTTGCAACTGAACTTAGCTGGAAGGTTCTCTGCAGCGTGGGGAATGGAAAAATAAAACTAAGAAAATAGCTCTCCTCAAGTACCAAATGTGGAAATCTTGCCAAAATTAGCACAAATACAGACTATGATCAGCCTAATATTTAATGAACACGCACTGTACCTTTCCTCTATCTGTTAAACTACTAATTGATGTGCTACTGATGAATAAAAGGGCGGGTATTTCAGTCATGAACTCACTTCACTGCAGTTTACTGAGAGCCCCAAGCTGCTGAGCTCATTACAGATCCCTTTGCTGAACTGGCTTTACAGGCAATTTTGTGAAGGGGCAGCATCAGAGCTAGCCCACTGATTGGGACTCCATTGGCTCAGCAGGGCTCCAAGAGTTCAGGAGAAAGAGCACCGCACTGAGCTAAAAATATGTCTTTGCCTGTGTAGTGCCAGGAAGATTGCCTGGCTGTGCTAATTGGGGGGGACCTAGAGATCTGGGTGGTATTTTAGGCTAATCTCGAGGTGGGACCTCTGCAGCATGTATGTGGCTCTGAATATAATCTCCTTCGGCACTGTCATTTATACCATTGCAGGCATTTACAATCAGAGCCATCCTTGATTGACTCGTGGCTGTTGCTGCACCCTAGACTCATCTGGCAGGAGTGAGGGGGGATAAGGGAAGGTGAAATGGCTGCACACTGAACTGACTTATGAAACCATGTCACAATTTTAGTGCAGCACTGAAGTTGTAAAATGAGAAAAATTACCCTGACAGGATCAGGGCATAGGGGGACCTCAGAGATCTACAGTCCTCCTGCAGAAACTGACTGCAGAGTTGCACAACAGAAAGGGTTTTCTCAAACCCCCTTGTCAGGTTTTACTTTTCAGTCCTGCTGTCTTTCTCCACGTAGTCTTGTTTTTAGTTCTCTGGGAAATAACATAGCCCTGATCTCAGACATTCCCTAGCTTACCTCTATTTAGAGCACCAAACCCCCATGTTCAAAAAACAGGGTGGTCAGAGGAGTTTGTGTTTCTGCTCATCCCTCATGGACTTAGTAAGGCAGAAGGAAATAGAGGAGAGAGGAAAACTAGAGGAGTGTAAGAAACAGTGACAGGCTGAAAGCACGAACAAAACCAACAAAAGCAGAAGTAAAAAGCCTGACAGAAAAGGCTAGAAAAAAAACTTGATCATGGACATACTAAGCAACTGAGCATTTTTGCTTAAATAACACATTGTACTGTTAGTTTGTTTGTTTTAACAGATATGTGATTTTACAAGGGGGTTCCTCGCTTTATTGGTATGACGTATTTCAGCAAAACAGAGAAAAGGAGGGTATTTCACTCCTCCAAACTTGACAGGGTTGTTTTTTTTATTAGAAGAGCTTCATAAGTTGGGTGAGAAAGTGAGAAATGCCAAATGCCCATTTCATGAAATATCCGAAATAGACCAGTGTTTCGACTGCCAATTACTGGCTGAAATGCTTCAAAGAAGTTTTATAAGCCTCTTCATGTAATATAGCAACATTTTCAAGCAGCAGTTGTGCTGGAGATCTTACAGTAGATACACATTATAGCAACATAATTTTCTAAAGAAAACTTAATTATGTTAAAGTTTAATGTGTTACTTTTGCCCCCAAAGGAAGTGCTTTACACGCTTTACTGGGATTGTTGCTTTGCACAGCATCAGTCTGCTGCCTGTGTTTCTGCAGTAACCTTAACATTGGACACCAATATTAGGCAACTTTCCAAGGGCAAGGTGAAGAATGGTGCCGTCATACAAAGCCATGTGGAAAATTTTAGGACATTAAACTACATTTACAAATAAACAAAAGGAGTTTTGTAGGTTATGGAATGACATCTCTTGCCAAGTTCCTACACCTGTATTTAGAAAGCTGATCAAAGAGGCTGACTTCCGTCAGTGCTAAAGGCACCAATATCTTTTATTTTCCCATTAAGGCCCTGTCCCTAAAGCTCTAGCCCTGAAGTATGAGCTGATATGTAACCTTTTTTTACTGTAATTCCTATTTATTTCTAATGCCTTTATGACTAATATAATTCTAATGAGAGCTTAAGACAAGCCACCACTCCAGGTTCAAAATAGCCTTAATTCTGCATAGCTGCTTGAGAACACCTTGCTATAAACCTCGAGGATGTTGGAAAGATTTCAGAAGAGAGCAAATAGCATGGCTAGAAGACTGGAAAGCATTACTGGCAGTGTACATAGAAGAAAGGGAAGGTACTTGGTCTAGATAAATCATATTAAAGCCTAGGTTAAAGGGGTGACTTGTTCACTGAAGTATCTATATGGGGGCAGAAGGATGACTGTAGAGGACTCCTCAGTCTAGGAGACAAAGGAATACATGTTACACTGCACCCGGAATTTCAAGCTAGATAAATTTTGACTAAAAAAGGTCTAAATGGTTAATGGTGATGGCAAACAACCACTGAAACTGCCTACTGAAGACTATGGTAGGTTTTTCATCCTTGAAAATTCTCCAAATAAAACAGGTTTCCAAAGTATACTCCAGTTCAGCCACAGGCTTCTGATTTGAAAGAGGAATTAGTTCAGAAAAGATCAGAGGTATTCATAGGCCTAACACTTATAGTACTTGCTACGTCAACAGAATGTAATACATAACATAACAGCAGGCCAATCATTTCATTTTACTGCTCAGATAATTCTATGCTGAGAGCCATTGGCAATACTTTATCCAAGGTTTTGCACAAAACCATCACCAATTCAAGGCAACAGAAGAGAACTGCATGTATGTCCTGATTTCAGATTTATGGTACTCAATAGGAAAGAATACAGCTGGTTTCAGTGGGATTTGGTCCAGGGTCTTATTTAGGATTTGAGAAAAGGGAAACAATTTTGTTTTCTGCCCTTATGTGTAAATGGGTAAAGGCTTAGAATATTTATAAAGGCTTAGAATCCTTCTAATTACCATGGGTTTTATTGTGTCAGGCAGGTAAATATTCTCTGTTCTGCTAGGTATAAAGTTGGGGATAAACTTATCTTGGGGATTTCTGCAGAAGAAATTCAACCTTACCATCAAAGCTGAAAGCTGTTTTGTCTCTAGGAATCTATTTCTGGTTTAAGCATACAAAATGAGTCCTGGAATTTACTTTAAAATGTTAAGAATAATGCTGGGTATGAAAATCTTGCCATCATTCTTTACTAAATGAAGTACAGAATGTACTTCTGCTTTCATTTCTGCTTCCCTGGTCACATAGAGTGATCCACCAAGTTCACAAATTTGAATATTTTATGCTTCTGATTGAATTTTATTCTGAACTCTGAGTTATTAATAATTAGTAATCATAGACTGAAATTTCTGGTCTATAAATACATATAATCAATATGTGAAATTAAGGAAAGGGAAAAAATAACGCATTTAGTAGCAAGATCTTTCAAGTTCTTTGATTCCACTGAAACTGTAAACTCTTCTTTTTCTGACAAATTCAGAATTTTTTAGATTTCACAGTGTCAACTTTTCCTAGCACAGGAAGACAAGCTGCATTCATGCACTGAATGACCTGATAAATTCTCCTTAAACTTGAAGCCATTCTAAAGTGAGATGTGGACAACAAATTCAAAAGATGCCTAAAGTATAGTGGTAGAAAATAGCATTCTTAATGTATTAGCACGTACATAGATTGCTTTTTAAAACAAGTTCATTGTCTGCTTATAGGCTCCTGGTGGAATCTAGATGCAAGATAAATCTTTTCTTAATGTTTTCTGAAACAATAAAAAATATAAAGCCTGGTATCTGTTTTGCCATTTGGTCCTGCATTTTTCACCCACCTGAAACTCCCACAGAGTATGGAATGCCCAAGAAAGATGGGAAGGAGCCATAAATATTAAGTGACCATATAATGGTGAGCATGCTGCAGTTCTTCTGCACTGAAGAAGGCAAGACCTGCACATTAAGTTCCCACTCCTGTGAGTTATGGGTCATTTGCTCATTAGTGAAGTGACTAATCCAGTAGTGAAGAGGATGTCTAGTGAAAATAAATTGCATTATACTACTGACTGCTGTGATGGATTCTTTATGTGCTCTTTGTGTTATCATTCAGAGGACCCCTTTTACCCAACCCCTGGTGTTGCAGACGTGTTATAAGGAATTTTATCAGAGCAAACAGGAGTCTTCGTGAGGCAAGAAACAATAGAACAAGCAGGAAATAAATAATAACTAGATAACCAGGAAACAGCACTAACACAATAGATGTGCAGTCATTAGTTTAAACTATCACATTTGTCCTGAAATGATCAGAAAAACAGTGAAGCTGCAACAGTGAAGTTTACAATAAATCCATGCTTATGCATTTTGAAGGCCACTTCAGGAGAGTTAGAGGAATAAATATGGAAATCAAAGGCTAAACTTGACGTTGAATGTAGGTGAGCTGGAAAACATTTTCAGGCATTTTAATTCCTTAAAATTTTCAGAGCACTTTCTGCTGAAAAGAAACATTGCTTCACTTACCCACCATTTATAATGGCCTAACATTAATATGATAATCTGGATGGGATGCTTAATTATGGTGGGGTTTCTTTCCTCGCATATTGTCTTCCCAGACGCAGTTTAATGAGGCAAGCCTTTTCTGCCATTTCAGCTCATGTAAGTGGCATGATCTAGTTTCAACATATGGAAATATTCTGCCGCTGTCTGATCACTGATGAAATTCATTGACTACAGATCATTTAACCAAACTAATAATAGTTATGGAAACACTGTAAAATCTGAAAACTAATATTGTTTATGACAAGATTTTGTTATAATTCAACCTTCTCGGTGCATACAGGATGAAGGAAAGCAATGGGTAGATTCAAGTTTGCTTTGTTACCTATTAAGCAATGAGTAGATTCAAGCTTGCTTTTTTACCTATTAATGCTTACCGACATGTAAGGATTTTGTATTATACTTGTAGCATTCCACTTTGATTTCTCTTTTTTACTTCTTTTGTTGGAGATGCTTAAAAGCAATTCTACTGGTTATTTTAACAACCTCTAATGGTAAGTGGCAAAGTTCTGCTTGCTTTGCTTTGAGGCTCTCAGAGTTAAAGCTAAGTTTAATTGAAGCTCATCTGAGCCACCACCAAAAAAGCTACTTTTTTTCTTTTTCTCCACACACATTGCCATACAAAGAAGAGAGAGATCTGAGTTTTTAATTGTCATTGTTTATGTCCCTCTTTGGTAAGTCTTGCTGAATTTCTAATTATGTGCATAACAACTGCAACAGGCTCTATATAGTACTGCATAAAAATTATCCCTTGATCGCTTTCTTCCAAGTTACATAGCAGCCTAGATTAGTGAAGGTGTAGGATTGCTTTCCTGACATTTATTGAATAACCATTATTTAAATTATTTTGCGTGTTTCAATGAATTTGTCATACATTGTATTTTACAATAGATTCTCTTTTTCGTTGTTATTTACATAAAAATCGTAATGCTCTATTGCCAGAAGTAAGGCAAGAAACACATACATGTGAAAGTAAAGTGTGATTCACCCCCAAACCAAAGATAAGCAGAAACATACAGGAAAGTGCAAATTTTTATTTTGCTATCAAATTGCATTTGTGGGAAATATTTAAAAGGAACAGTATTGTCATAAAAAGCAACCCAGAGCATCTCTGATCAAGCATTTCTAATTCATTCCAAATGAATCTGATTTCACATGAAAAGAAAGATGTAGTAAAAATAGCCTTTCTCAGCCTAGTGGCATGAGGCACAGTGGTGTAAAAGGCCTTGATCCACAGCCCACTTGAAGTCATTACAGTGACATCATTCAGCCTTGGATCAGGGCTTGAGCAAAGAATATATTGAATTTTAAACAGATGTGAGACCAGAATCTAGCTTAACATACAGATACTGTATGAATTTCACTGAAATTTCTGTCTTTAACAGGATCTGGTTTTACCTCTCTGCAACTATCTGTAAAACAAGACACTTTTCTGAACAAATCTGATCAAATCTGAGTAACTGACATTCTAGTCCCAAGAACTATTTTGTTTCGTATTTTCATCAAAGCCATAGTTCAATTTAGGGGGAAAAAATAATATATATATATATCCCAAATGGGGGGGGTTAGCAGTATTTTATAGTTTGGAAACGACAAAGAATTCTACTCTGAAAAATGAAACAGAAAAAACACAATGCTACATATGCAAATGGATTAAAATACCTGAAAGTTTGCTTTTTCATGATGTAGACATTACACAATAACTGACAGTAATTCAAATTTCATCATTATCATGAACTTGTAGGGTTTCTTCAAAATTCAGGTTGATAGTTTAAGAATGCCGACTTAGATCACAATACAGCAATTTGACAAAACTGAAGTAAAAATTGAAAGAAAATTAATCAAGTAATATAATACATTTTGTAGTACTTTTTCCATGGACAACTCCACTAATAATCTTATAGTATGAATTATCAGGGGGGAAAAATGCTTTGATTATACAACTTTGTCACAAAGCTATCTTTGGATTAAAGTGGCAATGTGATAGGCGTTAGCTTTCATTGAAAATACTACTTTTTTTTTTTTAGATCTACACTGCAGATGTATTTTTATATCAGTTTTTAATGTATCAGGGAAAACAGCATAGGTTTTGAGGGCTGCAGGGTGGCTTGCAATGCTCTAGTGTTTTGGAGGAGTGTGGTTGGTTACGTAGCACTTGTTTAAAATACGTGTCTTACAGTAAAATAATTATTTGAAATACCAGAACAAATCCTGGGTAAGAAGAATGAACAAAAACATTTAAAGTATTTATATACATATATATATATTTATAAATACATATAAAGTATTAAAGTATTAAGTGTTCCTTATCTGAGCATGAGGTGAAATGGAACACAGGAGGAGGGAAAGAAGAAAATGTATTTCAACAGAGGAGATGTTCTTGTCCCTTCCTGGCATCAGCACTCTCCTGTAATTTTGAATTTCATAACTGGGACTTGTGATCATTTTTCATGAGGGTGAATTGTTCTGATACCCCTTCCACATATTTTTAAATGAAAACTGGAAGAATAAGAAAAACAAGACAAAACAAAACCTAAACCCTGTATGCTCCATTTGCTGAATATATGGTTTTCTTCTCCCCTTGTGTGCATTTGCCAGATGGCACTACACTGGGTTGGATGATAATAAACATGAAAAATACAGTCAGTGCATGAGCAGAGATAACTGTGGCTGAATGTACGAGGGTTGGGGTTAGTAGGCGAAAGGGGCAGAAGTTCCAGCTGCAAGCAAAAAGCAAAGTTTAGCTCCTCAAGGGAGGAGCTGCTCTTATTTCCAATTAGCTCCTGTTGGCAGGGATACTTGGGGCCTCTGGGAAGTGAGGTTGTCCCTCGTTATCCCAGTACCCTGCCCAAGGGGAACGTTTGGGGCCATTTCCCTCCTGGCAGAGCTAAGTCCATAAATCTGGAGTGATGGGAACTTGTTCGGTGCTGTGGAGGGAAATCAGACCTGAGTGAGAGGTGAGCTAACTCACCTCTGGTTTCTCACCACTGGGTGTGAGGCCAGCAGGCTGCTGTGAAGGGGTGAGGTCCAGCTAGCAACATAGGCTAGGAATAGGGCTGCTCTAGGAGAAGGGCATGTTTGGGTCAAGGATGATGAAGTGACCCTGTGGGCCACTGAACCCTTCACATGGCCTGGGCCCTGAAGTGTGTCATCCATCCCACCATTGTGTGGGAACTGCTATGCCCACAGAGGGGACCCCCAACTCTGCTTAGCCCTGTGGCAACACCTCCACAGGAAGCACAAGGAACAGCTGCTCCTCTTGGAAAGTCGCTGCATCCTCCTCCTTCACAACCTCTTTCTGCAAGTAAGAGGTATCTCCAGATGAAGATACACGCACTTACAGCAACAAGGCATTTGGCCCCTGGCCATGCACATTGCTGTTGTCCTCTGTGTAGGCGTTGGCTTCACAACATAGATTTTCATCTGGATTTCTGCATTCAGGTTAGCAAATGAGGGGCCTGGAGGAGACCTAAAGTATGTCCAAGACCTTCTAGGTCATAGACTTGGGGGGATTCATTTGTCTAGTAGGTAAAGTTTTTCTCCTATCAGATGAACTGATAGAAGAAAGAGTCTTGGGGACATCTGCTAGCAAATACCTTGCAGGGAAGGGTACTTACAGTAGGTATCATCTCTACTGAAACATTTGTATGAAGCAGGTAGCAGTCTGCATTCCTGCTGTTACTCATTTGACCAAGAGGCTGATATAGTTGGAAACTGGTTTTCTTTCAACCCAGTACTTGTCCTTGGAAAACTCTCTCTCGCAGGGAGAAAGAAACTTCCAGCCAGAAGATGAAATGGCACCTATGCGGTCATTTATTTGCCCCAATTCATTTCAACCTCTCTTTGCTTTTGTTTGTTACTCTCATTCTTTCCTTTTTACTGACACACTGCACTCTGAAAGGGGCAAACTTAAATTCAGGAAACTAATCAAAACGCAATAGATAATTATTTAGTTTGAAATAAGTCTATCCTTTGCTTCCTTTGTAGTCTACGTGAGATTATTACAGATTGCATTACCAAAGCAAAAGGAGCAGGGAAGAAGCACCTAATTATTCTTGGTCCTGTAAAGAATGTAATTAAGAGTTTCTTAACCCAGCTCTCTTAGTATTTTGAAACTTTCTTCTCTATTCCTGCATGAACACTGAACGTAGTCTGCACTCAAGAATGACCACTAAAATATGCGACTGCTCCCTCTATGAACTAGGCAGCATCTGAGGCTGGCTATTGCATTATTCATCTTCATAAGCTAACTATAATAAGTTGGAGAAGAAGCTTTGGATTCACTAATTACTGCGAGATAAGAGATGGAGAAGAAGGAAAGGTAATCCCCAGTATTTCAAGATACAGGTGGCACAGACCTTAGCTTCTTGAGCACAAGTTCCAGGCATGAGGGTGGAAGAGAGGGGAGTTTCCTCTGCTCACCACATGGTGATCACAAATGTCACCTATGGACAAAAGAAAATGAAAAGGAACAATAAATGAAACATGGACAATGATTTAGTCCCTTGAAAACACACATTAATCCTTCAACAGCCCCCAGCTTTGCTGCAGTGAAAGTTGGTTTCTTGCGGTAGGGCTAACTTTGGGACCAATACTGGAAAGCAGAGCTGGAGCACGGTTGGCAGCAATATTCAGGAGCAGTAACAGCATGACAGCATTAAGAAACAGAGTATTCAAAAAAAAAAAAAAAAAAAAAAAAAAACACCTCCTGAAGGACTGTAAATACCCAGTTTAGCTGCTGGTTTAAGCACTTGCAAAGGCACTATCTGACTCTTTGAAAGCACTGCATATCTAAGTTTTGGAAGCAATAGTGAATAAATACTTCACTGACTGCTCCTCTGTATTAGCTCATTGGAGTGCCTGGAAGAGACCTGACAGAAAACAAAAAAAAAGTTAAATGCAACTTAAATCATCGTCCAGTTTGACTCTGAAAACAAGAAAGAAAGGCGAGGCATTCACCACAAGGTTGCAAAAGGCATTTAGCGTCATCTGCACCACAGTTATTGGGAGTGCAGGGAAAGGGACTGAGGGATGTGAGCTGGCAATGTGGCTGGGATCCCAATCCCCAGTGGTTGTGGGTTGGGTTTGGGGGTTTTTTCTTTTTTTTTCCTTTTTTTTTGGGTGACTTCGAAAGATGTCACGGCAAAGTGAAATCTTTGTGGAGGGCTGCTCATGCATTCAGACTGTAGAGTTTTCAAAATGTGATGTTTTGCAATGATGACATTAGAGTAGCAACCAAGGGTCCGAGACAGCAACGCCTGCTGCAGCTGGTCTTCGCTTTGAAATGCCCAAAACAATGGGGGCCACTGTTCTTCATCGCTTCGCCTTTCCATTCCATTTGCATAGTCTGTTCTGCCTGATTGACCAGCTTGGGCTGTCCAAGGGACCAGCATTGTTCACAGATCACTTCAAGATGGCACAGATGACAAGATTCAGGTGAGAGATGAAGTGGGATGATTCTCAAATGCCATAAGGAAAAGCTACCCTGGGAACTTTTAGTGCAAGAGAAATAGTACCACAATTGAAGCACTTAAAGAATTTTTTAAATTGTTTTGGGTTTGGGGTTGTTGTTTGCTTTTTGGTTTTGTTTTTTTTTTTCAAGAAAATGATCATATTTGGAAATGCTCTGCCTTGACACACAAACCAGTAACAGGAGCTTTGTGTGTTTCATTGAGTTATTATGTTTGGTTCTCTTGTGATTTTGGGTTTTTGGGGGGTTGGGGTTTTTGTTTGTTTGGGGTTTTTTGGGGGGGGGGGGGGTGTTTTGTCTTGTTTTGTTTTGTTTCTTTTTTTTCCATTCCAGCTCTCACCTTCCCCGGGATAAGATGGGAGCCGTGCCATTGGAAACCTTTGTGAATCAAAGTTTGCTTCCTAAAAATCATAAGACAATAAATAAAGCTCATCACAGAGGCGAGTTTTGAAATCCCTTAGTGCCTGCTCCGTAACTAACTGCCAGGATTAATTACTTAATGTTCATAAAGAGATTTCGACATGGAAAACCCTCCCAGAAATGCAAAGCAGGGAAGCAGGGCAGGCTGGAGCACGCCTCCTTTTCCTTGGAGAAGCTGCAAACTCTCTGCTGGCCCAGATTCCCAACTGAAACGTAATGCTTCGGGGGGTTCATTCTTCCTTCTCCCCCCCACCCCCCCACCCCTAGGTACTCGAGTAAACATACACACGGCAGCGCCCCTAAAATGAGTTTCAGTTGACACCGATGTTTTGACTTCCTCTCAAAAAGACAAAATCTTTGTCATACAAGTATGTTTTCCCTGGAGGGGTTTCCAGCACAATTTGCTATAATTTCTTTACACCTAACGGAACTGATGGGATCTGAGCAGTAAAACATATTCCCACAGTACTTTCGCTCTCTCGCACTCTCTGTTACCCTCCTGGGGTTCAGATCACTCTCTAGCATAAATATTGCCAATAATTGTGCTAATACGGTGATTCTCAGAAGGAAGCGGAACTCTCTCCTCCTTGTAGAGCAGACCTAACTAAATCCATGCGACTTCTGCTTAATCTCTCGGTGTATTCTCTCCTAGCTGCTCGTCTTTCCCCTGCAGCGACTAATACACTTAATTACATGATTTACAAGCATTGCCAACAAGGTCCCAGGGGCTGCTAAAGACCGGCGAGCGGGGCGTGAGGTGCCTGCCCCTGCAACACGGGCACCTCGAAGGGAATGTGCTTTCAGCCGGACCCGGCTCTGTAGACTGACCCAAAAATTATCCCCCAAATACCCTTCTCCACTGTCTCATACTCACACAGACACACATCCCTTTCATCTTGTGCTCCAGTCCCAGGATGGTTTGGGGTTCCCCCCCCCAGTGAAGGGGGGGATAAAAGCTGCGGAGGAAACTTAAGTGGCTCTGGAGTTTGTTTAATTTCCCTCCAGTGTTTACTGATAATTCGAGAGACGCTTATCTCGGGGAATATAACGATTAATACAACCGCAGGTTTCCAGATAAGTGATTGTGATGGAGATTGTTGGCGAGAAAATAGACAATTATCCGCTGTTAGCTTTACATAAAGATCGCATTAACTTGAATTAGTTATCAGACAAAAGAACATCAGAAAGCTGCACCTTTCTGCCAAGGCAACCGCTCGCAGGCACTGCGCTCAGCACAAGCAACCGCACCGCGGCCTCCTCACCATCTCCAGGGCCTGAAAGGGGCAGCGGGGACCAGGGGGAACCGGGGGATCCTAGGTCGCTGGGGGGACTGGGTGGTCGGTGGGGGCTACCGCGGGTTCATGCGGAGGCACGGCCTCTGCGAGGAGTGGGAAGGGCGAGCCTTGGGCCCTGGGGATCGCTTTAATCTCAAATGCCCGGCCGAGCCGCTTTCATTTCTATAGGGAGAAATGAAGCGGGACGTGGGGTAGGAGCTGGGGAGGGAGGCAGTGCGCCCTGGGAAGGAGCGGCGTGGGTGATAGCCAAGGAAAACTCGCTGCAAGGGAAGGGCACGTGGCTATTAAAATCCAGAGACAATATAACATTAAAAATTATTAAAAAAGGAAATAAAAATACATAAACCCATAATGACAACCCGGAGGCAGCTAGCTATTTGCATATGAAACCAGGAGCGCGGCAGTCCCCTTGCCGCATGATGTGCCCAGCGGTCCGGGCCCCCCCCAGACTGAAAAGCCCTTTGATTATTTCTCCTCTCCCTAGGAAAGGCTGATTCCTCCGTAATTGATAGTGGGGAAGGGCCGTAATTAATTTCGCAGAGAACTGCAGCTTCTCCTGCCGGCTGGTGGGGAAGGGCTAGGAGAGAGGAAAAGGGGCTCGGGAGGAACTCCCTCCGAGAACCCCTAATTAAAAGGAATCACGGTTCACCCTCTCCGGCACCGAGCCCCCCCCCCCCCCCTCGCCTCTCCACCACCCCTCGCTCCCCGGGGGGGCAGGGCCCGTGGGCTGCTCTCACGGAGCCCGAGAGCATTCACCATGCGTTTGTATGGCTGGAGGTTTCTGTGGGAATCGAGTAATTGGGGGGATGTGTGCACTCTCGGCTGGTTTCTCTCTGGAATTAAAGGCAGTCTTCAAAATAGGATGTTTGTTAGAGATCTTCAGCTGGGGGGAAACCTGACATTTCGGATCAGCGCGTTCTCTGTGCTGGATTTTCAGGCAGACCCTTAAGCACTGTGTTTATGTGGGGTTGGGAGGAGGAAAGAGAATAATAGGGGGGAGATTTTCCTGTTTAGTGGGGCAACGGGGCAAAACCCATCGAGGTGCTCCAGGCTTCGGGCTGAAGGAAGCCTGGCAGGAGCTGGGATAGAAATCTGCTCTGGGGAGCAGGGGCACCCCAGATTCGCGAGTGAGGCTGTCGCGAAGGGAGTGGGAAAGGGATGTCGGGTGGAGCGGCGCGGCTCCCACCCGAGCCGGGGAGCCCTGGGAGCCGGCCCCGGCCCCGGGACGTGCCGCTGCTGCCGCTGGGTCCCCGCTGAATGGAGCGGATAATGATCCCCGGTTCCCAAGGCAGACTTGCTGCTGCCTGGTGAGCCTTGGATTTGTGTGGTCCAAGCCTTTCCCAGCTTGTCCCATTCTGTCACCGGGATAAGGGGCTCCCTCGGCTCGTTTGCACCTGCGTCGCTTTTGGCTCCTTCAGGAATGCGCTGAAGCTTGTAATCAGCTTTGTGAAGCCATTGAGTGCACGGCTGAGTGAAACTTCCAAAGCTCGCAGAAAACTGGCCCGCTGAATAGGAGTCAGCATGGGGCTTCTCTCCAAGCCCCTGGCCTGCCAAATTCCAGCAGAGCCCCTCACAATCAGTCCACACAAGCTTTACTGCTCTCCCCGCACTGGGAGAAGGGAGAAAAGAAAAGCTAAAATACCAGTCACCGAGGTTAGCGGTTTGTTCCCAGATTAATGGCAAACGCCTCTCTCCCCAGTGCAGAGAACCAATTCACTCAAGAGATGTGTGTACATTTATACATACACATATATATATCTGTGTGTATGCATATAGATATAGGTGCATGTGAATATGTATGCATGACTAACAAGAAAAGGAAGAATGAAATAAAGGTTCGGGTTTTTTTTGTTTTGTTTTGGTTTGTTGGGGTTTGTTGTTTGTTTTGTTTTTACTTTATGTGGCTCTTATGGCAGCAAACAGGTAGCAAACAGGCTGTCTTGCTATCCATCCCACAAGGTTACTCTTCTGTCATCTCAGTCTTTTCTGCAACTATATGGTTTTAAGGCTCTCATGGGAATGCACTCATATGTACATCATATAGATGAAGAGGATTCTCAAATGCAGTCAGGTCTTCCATTTGGAGGTAATAGAGCACCAAGCAAAGCTCCATAGGAGAGTAGAACAAAAGCAGTGGGCAGGTTAAAAATTAAACTAAAATGAAACAAATCGTCAACAACCCCACCACCACTACCAATAAACCCACTTCTTGAGAAGATAACTCGAAGGGCCCAGCCGTGGAGTTTTCACAAACCACATC